CTTTCCATACACTTGCCATCCATAGTGAGACACAATTCTAATATGAGTATTCCTAAACAGATCGAAATTTCTTTCGTCGAACTTTACAAAGAAAACACTTGACTAGTATCAGTATTTGTTAGGAAGATAAATATCTAATCAGTGTCTTAGAATCAAAATTGTCAGATATCACATCCGTGTACTTTTTTATACAATAAGTAAAAGTCCTGTTATCCATTCACTTGCATAGCAAAAGAAAAATGTTCCAATAGTGTTTTTTCTTCAAACTATAAAACAGCTAAATTTCTATATTGAAACCAAAAGTCAAACGATGGAAGAGTATATATAAACTTTGGATTTATAGAAAAAGAAATTTAATATTCTGCCTTTCTAAATGAAAAAAAAATGATGAGATAATGTAATGGAGTTATAAGTAATTCTTAAGTGATTATGACTTTTTGGACGCTCTGTATTAAGTTATTGAAAATATGAAAAATAGAACCATTATTTTCCAATTCTTCGAAAACAATCAAGAAAAAAATTCATAACTATTAAAGTGAATTTTATTGATTTACTTCAATTATTTTCAATTTTAAAACTGCACATTTATTACATTTTTGGAGAAAAACTATAAAACCATAATAATTCCTTTCAATGTTTACTTACATCCTGTTCTATTTATTATCATAAAACTTAAACAAGAACCTAATTCTGAGAGCCAGTAAATAATAATTATTCGGACTGAACCATATTTGCGTTCCAATGGAATGCCATATAATAGTTGTTTTAATAGATTCGCAATTAAATGAATCCAATCATTATGCACCAAGTTACCGGTAACAAAACGCCACAACTGATGTGGAAACATAAAATGAAAACATATCTTTCTGAGTACGTCATCGTAATAACATGTTTGGTTTCCTATAATTAAATAACAACTGACAGTGCGCATACGAATATTTTCAGACGATGGTCGCATACATGGTACAAAAAATTGGAAAAGATCCATTAAATCTGACTGAAAATTTTGATCATTGGAACTAACATTGATGTATATTGAAAGATGAATAAAAACATGAATAATACATATACCGATGATAAATAAAGGGCAATGATACTGTTGACTTAATGCATTATCAAGGTTGACAATACCCTGAAAACACAAGTAGATCGTGTTCCTTTTAGTAGAAACTGGTCTTTCGGCTTGTATTGTTAAAGATTCTTGCATTTCCAATTCGACATTCATAATTTCGATGAGAATACTACACAATCTTTTTCTCTTTGCTGTGCTTTTGGATTAGGGATGGTAAAACATATGCATTTCTTTTTCCTCCCAATGAGAGAACAGAAGGAAGGAGGAAGACAATATTATTGTTCTAGTGTTATGGTATGATTACGTTCATGAGAAAATGTCGGTTAATATTTCTTTCCTTGTTCTTGTGAAGCAACGATTGAGCACAGCACGTTTTTTTTCTTCTTCCGAGCGTTATTTGAACATACATCAATATGATATAACCAATCAAATAAATGTAACAACTCTTTTCAATTACCACTCATAACTGTTCGTACACTATTGATATGAATATTTATGTGTGTGAGTTAGTCATAGTTTTGTTTACGTTACGTGATCATATCTTCATAATAGAGAATTTTAAATAATACAAATAAAGATAAAACGTATATGGTAATGTGTTTCTATTGTTTTAAATTATGCTTTATTTTTTAAATTATTTGTTATTATTAGAAACGAAGAGAAGTGCAGATCTAATCGTCGAACAGTGATGCTTAATAAATGAACATTCTAATAAATATTATGAATGGATATATCTTTTTTGGATCCATTTATCATTTTTCTTCAGAGAGTTTCTAATATTAGTAGACGGTATTTCAAGTACTATTAATAATTCTTAAATTGTTATCAAATATAATAATTATGTTGATATATTTCTAGTCTATTTAAAAAATTTACCTAAAAAATTTAATGTTATTAATGTTAGATTTTTAATTGCGATCTTCGTACTTTTATTTTGTATAAATATTGGTTGTAATTTCGTATTCTTCTTAACTTCAAATAGAAAAAGAGAAACTTGATTTATACTTATATTCTTTCCGTATCGTTACATTTTAATGAATAAATAAAAGGTTAAGGTGCCTCTAAGAAATCGATTTTGACCCAAGAACGTTCAGATCACTTGAAGTATGGAGGATATGCTGAGACTATAGTGAGGAGTATATGGTAAATATTTCAGCTCCATATTTGCATGTTTAAGAGAGATATGGGCCGAAAAAGGGTCAAAGTATCATGATGCATGGAATGAAATGCTGCTCTTTTAAAAGAGTTCATTTTTAAGGTACAAAACGTTATCACAAGTTAAAGTACTCCAAAAATGGCTGGAATGTTGCGCCAAAATTTTGTAGGCGATCGTTTTTATACCTAAAAAAAGATTTTTTTAAAAGGAGTCCAGTGGCATGCCTTACAGCTTGATGCGGTCTTTCAAAGAAGAAAATATTATGATTTTGAAAATTCCAAATAGAAATTTTGGATGCGCATGCTAGAAAATGACAACGGAGGAAAAACGAAAAATATTTTTGAACTTTTCAAAAGATATCTGATATTTCGAATAGAGGTTTCCAGAAATCTTGAAAATTCTTAGGAAAGAATTTTTAGCATCTTTGAAAGACCGAACTATCGGTTATCTCACCATTCTTTTAAAGAAAAGCTGATATTTTTCTGTTATCAACTCTTTTAAAATATGGAGTTGAACATTGAGGGCATCGAAGGTCTCGTGTAGAGAAGAGTATTCAATAAAATCAAACGAGACGCAATGAAGAAATATAAAGTTCCAGCATCAGTGTCGATTTCCAAACTTTTCCAACTGGCATAAAGTTTCGTAGGCATAGTCCCGTATCTCGAATTTTGAAGTAGCATGGCAACCAATGGCACACAGGTTGCCATGGGCACAAGTTCTGCGTATTGGGACCTTTCTAATTGTGTTACCAAACAACAGTACAAGGGGTATGGGTGTAGAATTTGAGCAGACTCAAGCCCAACTACTAGTGGAATCTTCCAGATTCTAAAGAAAAATGCAAGAGTTTCATATTTGAACACTTTTTGTAATCTCTTGTTTTCTTTCAAAACTGTGGCAACGATACGAACTGCTTTCGTAGAATCAAAATTTCCCGAAAGGTTCCTATTCAGGTAACAAGTATGTGGTTGTGGATTGAATTACTTTCTATGCGCACACCAACGCAGAAAAAAACCATTATGTTGCTTGAAAGATTTAGATATCGTTTGTAGAGTAATTCGAACGGAATTAAAGTGTGATTATGTATTAAATTTCCGACATCCAAATAATAATATGCATATTTTTCTTCAAATGAGTTCAAGGTTATTTTGATAATCGATTCTTAAATGAATTTCATCATTTATACGTATATAATACTTCATGATGAATTTTAACTAGAGTCTATCAGTTAATCCACTGAATCAACACTTCATCTCTTTTCTATATTGAAGAAAGTGTTTTTCGATAACGCTGCGTTCTTCAAACCATTACAAGCAAACAGCAATTGTATCGAATAACGTAGGAACAAAATGCTTCTAATGTAAATATATTTGCGTTGTATTTTATTTCTAACTGTACCACAAAAAAAAGCAGAACGATGACGAAAGAATTTCAATCTGTGACGTTCTTTCATCAATAATAATTCCAAAAAAACAACTACCCTGGCATTACTCTTTATCACATGAACTCGACTTGGAATCTTATAATGAAATATATCGATGATAGAGGAGCATGGAAAGTAGATTATAAAACTAAAATTATCTTTCATTACAATCAACTACTTTCTCTCAAGTTGTAATATTCGTCTAACCATTTAATGAATATAACAACTTAACGTGTTTCGTATTAGAAAATAATCAACTGTCCTAAAAGGTACTAAGTGAAACTCAATAAGAAACTTTTATTTTTGATTAGGAAAAAATGACAATTCTTTAATGTAATTCAAAAAACGTTTTTTCAACCTGTCTTCCATTATAAGAGTTCATGTTTTTCACAGGAAAATTGCTCTGATGAATATTTCGCTATACTCATCTTTCTAATTATAAACGACTCATGGAAAATTGATTAGAAATCAAATTAAGAAAGAAATGATGAATGAAATTAAGCCACAAGAAAGATGACTTCCCTGAATCCATTATCAGTTAGTTTTAATCAGCTAATCCTTCTTTCAAATATTTTTTTTCGCATAAAGAAATGTCGAAATGATGCAACATCATTACAATTGATTATAAACCTATTACGTCATCATGAGCACTTGTAAGAACAATTTAGATTAAGACTTCTTTGCACGTCATATTGAATATTACGTAGCAGCGATGACATGTTTCTTTATTATTCTCTGATATGAAAAAAATCTAAGAAAGTTATTTCCATTGAAATTAAAGAATTTATCCAGAAAAACTTTTCCATTAATATCATGATATAATAAAATCATAAATCAGATTAAATAAATATGCAAAAGTATCGAGTGATGAAGAAAATAATCATTTTAGTCAATAAAATAAATAGTGGTAAAAGCAAAACTTCTAAATGTCATCGAATTTGGAAGAGGATTAGTCATTATTCATTGTTTATTGACACCAACAGGTAGAGAAGGGGGAAAAGTGATGCAATTTTCTTTTCAATGGAAATAACCAAGTTTCACTTGCTACAATGACGCTCTTTTGCTCGTTTGTGATTACTCACAGGAATAACAGGTAATAATAAATACCCCTAAAGAATCCACATTTACATCGTATTAATCATTTAAATTTACTGATTCAGAAAGGTTTCAGTTGATTTAATGGCAAAGGCTTACGACAAATTACAGGTAAAATTCTTATTATAAAATGTTCGTTCAGAAAGCATATGTTAAATAAAATTTTTGCTCAATATTTCTGCACTTTGGCATATTCTGAAAACAATTCATAGAAAGAAAAACATTGGATTCTTGACACTCATAAGTCAAACATTTTAATGCCTTTTTTTATTATATTTTTACAGGGTTTACTTATGAACTATGAGGATTGGCCTAAATCAACAGTAACAGAACAAAAGTCAAGTGAAGATCTGTCTCTCTTTCGTGGCAAAAGTCAAGGAAGACAAGCATGGCATTATGTTATTGTTCCTCAACACAATTTTACTATTGTACAGGCGTTGAAAGGAAATTCGACTGCCAATGTCACAGACTTGGGTAGAATCGTTCAATATCGAAACAACCGAGATGAAATCAAAAATATGTCTGGATGGGGTGATAATCCACCAAGAATAATTCAAAATTGGCTTAGTACTCATTATAGTAAGAAACTATTCATTTTTTTAAACATTACTTTCTCGATGGTCTTAATCAAACAACATAGAAAAGATAGATCAGTTAATGTTCTCGTTGCATGCATTATAATTTTTTTAAAACAAAGTGTAACATTGCAGAAGATTCGTTATTTTAATAATCCTTTGCTTTATCCATATCTTAATTAGGTATGTATCATTCGAATGCGGTGACCCAACAATTGGATCTTTAGTAAATATATTAGATAAAGATAAAATTGACATTCATTCAATTTGTTCAATATTAAATACCTACAAAAGAATTTTCTGCACACCCCAACGAGATGGATGACTTGTCATTAAATTTTTCTGTAGCTAAGTTCGTTTCCTTCACAAAAAGACGTGGGTTTCTAAAATCATTTCTCTTTTTATATGTAGTATTCACTTGGACTCCATTTCGTTCCATTTTTATTATACAATGCAAATTGTAACATTTTCGAAAATCAAGTTTCAATTTCAACTTGATTGTCTATGACAATATCTAGAACACGTTCAGTGGAGCTCTCAAAAATTACCATATGTTGCTCTTGAGTTACGAGTAAACTGTGTATCAATGTAATCTCGATGCGTTTTGAATATGTGATTGACGTGCATCAAAACCCCTATCTACTTTCATAATTTAAGAAACTTTTTCTTTCGTACAAAGGAATAATGTTGTCGTCGAAAGATACACCCTCGAGTCATTAGTACCATGACAACATGATGTGTATTTGTATTCATCAAAGATGGACATATGGTAGAATACAACTACAGGTTACCATTTCGAAAAAGTTGTTTCTGTGTCCATTTCTAATGTGTATTATTGTTAAATTGAACAAAGTGAATGAATATCAATTTTGTTTTTCTTTCTTAAATAATTAGTAAAGGCTCAACTGTCGGTATACCTTCGAATGCAGTATTTTAAAAATTGTACTGATATGAATATTTACACGACTTAGCCTGAGAGAAAGTCAATCTTAAAATAGCATGATGATGGAAATGATATAACAATGAAACCCATGCTATAAAATGTTTTTTTAGGAACTGAATTTCATTGAAACTATAGAATCTTTTGTGATTTTGGTAATATTGGCATTCAAAAGATACTCATTAGACTATTCATTAAGAAAGTTAGATGTGTTATAAAAGTCTACAACAGGGGTGTCAGATTAGAGTTAACCTTAGAAAAATACTGATGCTGAAGCATTAAGGTTAATTCATTCAGCCTAATCCTTTTGCATTATCTTGTTAGTACTAATGAATGCTTAGTTTTTAGTAGCAGTTTAGCATTATTTTTAATACTAACATCTAGTTTATCAAAACGGAACAAAATTGTTATGTTCTAGGAAGTCATGAGTCATAATGCCACAAAAAAAGACAAAGTCATTCCGTTTTTTAGGAATATTACTCATGTGTGATTCATCAATAAGCAATAGCTTCCTTAAAATAAAACCATATTGTTAGATTTCGATAAGCTGTGCGTTACTGTTAAAAATAATGCTAAATTAGTAATAACATCTAAACATTAATTAATACTAATACAATTATGTCAAAACATCATGCTTAATAAATTAACTTTCAGGCAAAGCATTAAATAAAGTATTACTTGATGCTACTAATAGTTCTAATCTGACATCCCTAGTTCAAAACTTGATATATGATCACAAATATATTCCATTCGTATCATGTTTTAAAAATAGGTTCAGCTGCTGTAGATGAAAATATCAGCTTGACTGACACAAATGATGACATCCGGCTATGCACAATGCAACGTGCAATACCCGAACAACGACTTGAAATTGGACTTCATTATTTTATACCACAAAAGTTCTATTATATAAAATTAATTGAGGACTCACCATCGAGTTTAGCTCGGCGAGCAGGACTAAAATCGTATGATCGAGTGATTTTTCTTAACGGTGTCAATATTGAAAATGACAGTCCAATGCAGTTTGACCATCGCTTTGATATTGATCGACATTGTCCAGTTCAAATGCTTGTTTGTAGTCCAGCTACATATGATCATTATAAAGCTAATAAAATGAATTTTTCATGTGATCTTCCATCTGTTCAACGTTTAAAACCAATATATGCAACATCAAGTAACCAATAAATATCCATATAACTATTATTCATCTACTAATTATTATGTCAATTATTGGTTTATTTGTAGCATCCAATTCGCATACTGATATACCAACCGTTAGGTTTGATAATGAAACTTTTTACGCTGTCCAATGGGAAAGTAGTAACATTATTTCTACAGTACCTCAATCAGCAGTTTTCAAATCATCTGAATTTACGAATATAAATGATATCTGTATTATTGAAATAGAGAACGAACAATATCAAAAAGGAAAAATTGTTTTTAGAGGTTTGTCGTTATTATTCACGAATATTATTTAAAAACAGTTTTTTCTATTTGCTAGGTTCACGAGATGAGTGCGATAAGTTAAATACATCTCCGATTTCACTAGCAATTCATGATGTTTCTAACAGGATAGATAATTTATCCGTTAGAGAAAAATCAAGTATTTCGGGTCTCACTGTTGAGAAATTTTTATGCTCATTAGATGGAACTGTTACAACATCATCACAGGTATTAGTTAGTTTACAATTATCCGATTTAATTCTATTGATTGAAACCGTATAATTAGAAGAGAAAAGAATCAAAATTGAGTGTATTTTTTGTATAATCAGCTTCTGAGGAAGGAAATATTCTAATAAAATATTTGTTTGTTTAGAAACTACAAGCTGATACAGAGCCAAAAGAAATAACTATTCACAATATAAATATTGGTACACAAATGAGTTCGATCATTGAAAATCGCCAAGATATTCCGAATGGTAAGTTACAACTATAGGTATTAGTATTAGAACTTCACTTGAGAACTGAAATAAAAAGTGATGATTTTATTTTCATTCAGTAAGTTTGTCAATATACAATTGAAAATCACACGAAATTACCCATCTAACATTAGTATTTCATTCGTAATCTAAGGAGAGATGATATTTTGTAAGAAGAAAATCATCAAAACTTCTCCATATCTGATACAAAAACACGACGAAATTGTGATTCTTTTATTATCTTTTGATTTCTAAAATTTGACTATCGTGAATTTCAAAAAAGAAGGCAAACGGATATTTTCGAAGTAACTTTTAACAGAAACAAACTAGAGGGGTCGAATCTTCACTGTTGGAAAGAGAAGCTGAAGAGATGTCGAGCAACATAATATAGACATTTCTTGGAAGCTCTCTAAAGTTTTTCTAATCAATGTTTTGAACACACTCGTGTAAAAATAACTTCGCTAGTTTAGAAAAAAAAAGATGCAAGAAACTCATTTTTGACATAAGGTTATTGAAAATGTGAATTATTATTACCATTCAAAATCTAAGAGCTCGTACATGAATGAACAATAAAAGTATCAGTCTTGCACGACTCGGTAGATCTTCTTTTATTGACTTAAATGCACTAGAGATTATTAAATGTTGACTTTCCAAAATCTTATTGTTAATAGTTTGAGAGGAAGAAGTAGATAGTATTTGCTTACGATATCCAGAGTGGTGTGTCTCCATGTTTTCTTTCTAACAATTAAAATCTTCATACTTTGTTAAACGGTTCGAATAAAATCCATTATGTTGTCAAATATCTGAGAGTTATTTATCCATATAAATGAATACTTTATCTAGAAACATCAACAATATAAGTTCCTGTACTGAAAAATCATGAATTCTCCTCTGGAATACTTTTATAAATCATCGATTCGTTTTAGTATATTAGAGTGTCAAGTATATGAATATCAGAACGGTGTCTACCCAAATTCATATTCAAAATCAGTTGTACTAGCAAAAAATCAAATAAATCTCAAAACAGATTATTTTACTTAAAATCAAAGTAATTGATTTTTTCTTTGATATGTTTCAGGTTCACATGCTATCCTTGAAGATCTTCCAAATGAATTATTTTATTATATATTTACTTTGATTGATATTCAAGATTTATATAAAGCTTTTTGGGGATTAAATTCAAGATTGAACAACATTTTTCAATTCTGTCAAAATCTATCGTTAGTTTTCGATGATAAAGTTGATCCAGTATTGATGAAATTCTATGCTCCTTACGTCACTCATTTAGTAATTCAAACTTCTACCTATTGTGATTTCAATCAATTTCCTAACCTACGTGTACTGACATTGTGTATTGAAAACTCACGACAACTTTCACAGATTCACCCTGATACGATTCCCAATTTGACACATCTATCGTTTTTGTCGGGATCTCAATTTACTTTACCAGAAAAATTAACTCGGCAGATATTCTCTAATGAATTTCCATTACTTGGTTATGTTAATCTTGGTCGTATCAAAGAATCTATTTCTGATTCATGGATTATGTCTTCTCATCTTCGATTTGTATCCATTCTTTCTTGTAGACCGATGTTTATTCCAGTTATTTTAGCTTCATGTCCTAATCTTGATCATCTTCAAGTTCATGTTATTTGCGATGATAATACTGCCACTTCATCATCACAAGTTAATCATCCGCTTCGACGATTGACGCTTTGGAGTGATTTTAACGAATTACCTTTTGATATTATTGATAAAATTCTTATTTATACACCTAATGTCAAACATTTATACCTACAAACAATATATTCAAAGTCATTGATTGATTTAGCTCAAAGTTTGATCAATCGGTTGCATAATTTATCTCAATTTGACTGTCATATTCAAGAAATGTTGGGAAAAGATGAGAGAATTCATGATTTAACTAATTTACATCAAGTTCATCCATGTTTCAATCGAATTCAATCAATAGAAAAAGAGGACACATGTCGAATTTTTGTCACTAAATAACTTGCGGAAAGATTATGTATGAATATTTTATTTTTATAAGATAATAGTTGGTTCTTTTCAACAATTCTTTCTCAGTTTTTTTTCCAATAAATGATTATCTGTTAAACAGTTATTTATTCTTTTATTTATAAGACTCATAAATGCAGAAAAAAAAAATATAATTTTATTTGGTTTTGCTTTTATGGTTAAATACCGTATGTATCTCTGATAACATATAATGCATTCAGTATATTTAGACGTCGTCGATACTTCGAGTCCTGTTACTGAATCAACGTAATAGAATAACTAAAGAGAGTAAAATGACCAATCATATTACAAAGATAACTTGTTTTGTTTTTTTTTGTGAATTTAACTCTTTAGGTACTTACGAAAAACATTTTGTAGTTTACTGTACTATTTATGCTACGAAGAACGAAATTGACTTAAAAAAGACTTTCTATCACCCAGTGAGAGTAGGAACTGGAACGAGTTTTTTTTTCTATCGAACATGGAAGTTCTCATGTTCGAATTGAATTGTATTGATACGAATAGTTTTGAAAGATGATTACAATTATTGAATGAATGGTTCATTTAAATCATTTATTGCATGAAATGTTTTGAAATTAGATGAGATTTCGATTTATCTGTCGTAAAGTCTTTTTAATAAACGAAATGCTAAGAAGGAAAAACTTTACCTCGATAGAACACAAACACTGAATATATCCATTTGACTCTGTGTGAATTCAAGTGACTCAAAAAGTCCAAGTTAATGTTTTCTGTCTTTGCACAATATTCATATTCAGCCTTTTTTCTCGACATACGTATGTAAAAGATTATAAAATTGATCAAGAAAATAATATTGGTTAGCTTCAAATTGTCCTTTCTTGGTTTTCTCAATAGGAATTCTGGAAGAACTTATTTTTAATCTCTTTAAAATGAATGGAAATCATTTTGAAAGTTCTTGACGAATTTCAGAATGGAATTTTTAAAAGTGCTAACTCTTTTAATAGTTTCATGGGACCTCTTCAACAGTAACTAAAAAAGTTGTTACGTTCTTGTCTTAATCATAATACCAAATTTTACTATCTACTATCGTCTAATATTTGTCTATAGACACAATGACAAGAAAGCATTCAGCGATGTGTTTTGTTCAACTATTGTGATTGAATGTTTACTTGAAAATAACTTTATCTAGAATCCAATTCATTATTTTTGAGTGTTTTTGCTTTTATAGTAGATACAAATTTATGACAGATAAGTTTGTTAGATTATAAAATGTTATATGAATTTAAGAAAATTTAATTCGTTAAACTTTCTTAAGCAAATCGATACATCTCTTGAAGTTTGACGCGATGATAATGAACAAGTTTTAGTGAACTATTAATTAGTATTTCGTTATGATTATTTTCATCTAAGTGACCTGATTTTATATTACTAAAACTAGTGCATTTTTCAACAATATTCTTTTTTCTATGTAAATATGAAATATTCTTGGAAAAATCAAATTTGATTAAATCAGTTCCTTACTTTTAATTTCAAATCTACTGGTTTGAATCCTTGAAATCATAAATACGTATTAAACATAGTTTCCTAGTTTAAGAAATTTTTCACTTAGGACTAACGATGAAATTAATTCTCGTATATTTCAAGACAAATAAAATAAAATAAAATAAAATTTGTGGTTCACTTAAAAAATTTGAAATTTGTGGCTTAGAAATGCATTGTACTCATTCTTTAATATGTCATCATTTAAACCAAATACATGCTTCAAATTGAATTACTAAGAATTTCATACTTGGTGTTAGCCGCAGTGTTTTTCCTTTAAGGAGTGATTAATCATAACAACAACTATTACTCTCTTAAAGTTTATGCCAAATATTCGATGCGTTTCTTTAATCATCAATAGATACACTCTTCTATAACAGTTAAATGTCAATGAATACACAGTACTAGTAAATCCATATCATCATTGGAAGAACATAACATTACAAGTAATGGATTTCGTTTGCATTCTTTTACTTTTATATTCACTAATAAGACTTTCCTAATTTTAATAGATTGTTCTTGCTTATATCATGTTACATATTCTTTTCATATTTTTCAAGATGTTGTGAAACTAATTATCATTTGAAAGAAACTTCATTTGATAAGATTATATTTAGGAAAAAAAAATCCGATCACCAATCAAAAGATTGAAAAGACATTTAGTAATATTTCATAAAATAGAGTTGATGGTTATGTTCTTTTTCTAATGCTTTGTACGAGTTTTAATGGTATGAATGAGCAAAAACGACATCTAAGCATGCCATTTATCGATTCAAGTCCAAAAGTTATATGTGATACAAACATTTTACAGCTTCTACGATTGAAAAAAAGATCAAAGGGTTAGTTGTTTAAGGATTATTTAACTTAGAAATGCATTTACTATAGTTTAGGTGACTAGATCATAATGAAGAAAGATAAAATCAGTACTCCGTTTAGAAACAAGCGTCAAATGGAGTATTCGTCTTTCAAAATATGTATGCCAGAGAATATTCATAAACTAAAAAGCAGTCGAATAGAAAGAATAACTTCTTTTCTTTCCCTGTGGTTTCTGTCGCTTTCCAAAACATCTAACATACGAGAAAAATTCATTCTTAAGAGAATATGTGCGTCTCGTCAGTAAAAATATTCTTTTTCGGAAGATATAAAAAATAAGCAAAAAAGAACTATAAGATGCTGACTACGTTACATTGCACGCATGTTCTTTTTTTTCTCATTCTTGCAAGTTGTTTTTAGTAGTGACTAGAAAAGAAAAAGAAGTTAAAGTAATTTTTTCCTGTTTAAGATACTCAAAAAGAGTTATATCTATATACAGAATAAGTAAACATTCACTTTATACCTAACTTCTTAACACTGCATTATTGGCGTCATTGATTCATCGAAATTCGGGTAAATAGAATGTTGTCATGCTGTGTAAATAGATATTAGTTTTTATTCTATAGAATAAATGAGAAACAATGGATTGATTGTTATTTAGAGAAGGTTATTAGTATAGCGTTAGGTTGTGTAAGAATGTTTTGCTAGAAGACTTTGATTATAAAATATTCCACAACACTATGAAAGTATTCATTGAATAACTATTGCGTGTGTAGATAATACTTTGCTTCTGTACATTCATTTATGATTCCAAAGAAAACTTTCTTATTGAATAAAGCTGATGTATTGGTTATATTCTACAGAATATTAAAGTGCGAGTGAGTTTATGAATAGTTTCTCTAGATAATTTTGTCTGATCTGATCGGCAGAAAAAATCAGATTGACTTAGATTCCTGATTTTTCGAATGCATTAAATTGTATAAGTCTATGTTAAATTATGATAGCGGTTTCAGTGACTGATTTCATTTATTCTTATGAGCATAGTAGAATGATAAATTCCTACTAAGACCGATGAACCATCATTCACAAAAATTCATAAAACCTAAAACCTAAAAACTCTGAAGAGTCAAATTTAAAATTATTTGATGAAAACAGGAGATTTCTGGTGACTATGAATATATTTTTTTCATAGAAGAAAGACTTAAATTAACAGGTTCTTCTTTTTGCTGACATTAGTATTGTTTCATAAAATCGAGAAAACAAAAGCATCCGTCATATTATCAAGAGCAATATATGTTTAGACATGTGACGAGGAGTTCGAATAACTAGATGGGTGTGGGCGTGGCTGTAGAATGAGAAGAGTACACGCACACCCTCATCACAAAACATTGCCGTCAATAAATTTCTGCACTGAAATCGAGTTTAGTTTGAACGAAAAAAGGTCTTCTGAGAAACATTGAACTATTGTAGATTTGGGTGTGGGTGTGGGTGTACTCTTCTCATTCTACACTCCACCAACACCCACACCCACACCTACACCCACACCCACCCACACCCCACACCCACACCCACACCCCTTTGATGGAATGAATTACCAACGAATTAGCACCAGCAATTAATCGATTGTGTATGAACGATTTGTACTTGATATGCGACAGAAGTCGGGCCCATAACAAGCTGATGATGCTCCAAGCCTTGAAGGCTGGAAGATGTGAATCAATTATCGATATTGTGTTCATGCCAACAGCATCAGCAATATATGTGTCACCTTTGGACAGTCCGATCTGGTATTCATTCAAAGAAGCTCTTCGACTGAAACATCCACTCATAGTGAAAGATATTCCAACATTACTTTCGCGCATACTTTTTTCGTTATCAAAAGGACAGATTCGTAACGCATATCGGAAATGTGCTATTTCAGCAAAGACCAACGTGTATTATGATAAACCATCTACTTGAATGACTATTTTCTTGCATTTAATCCAGATGAGAAATTCATTGTGACAAAAAATCTAACATCTTTTTCTTCTAACGTAGTTTTTATTTCCTAAACTTTGGCCCTTTTCTATGATTTATATAATACTTGATGCAGTGAAACCTGTACTTTCTCGCCATATATAGATTATCGAAAATAAGCCGATATTAAATTTTTTTACGCGAGAAAAACAGGGGTGGAAAATGATTTGACGAGCACTGTATTTAAGAATTAAGCGAAATAAATGAAAATATACAGATATGCTGTTAGTGAATCCATTGCTGGAAATAAAAAAAGAACGCACCGAAACACACACTTCAAAAATATCTATCACAATTTTATTTATTTCAGAAGATCCAAAAAGTTCTTTTCATTCATAAAGTCTTATTTACAAAGGTACAATATGTTTTTATCACAGATAATGAAGAACTGCTCCATCTTTCTAACTAAAAGCACGTCTGTTTTGCAAAAGTAAATTTTTCAGTAAAACAAAACTTCAGCCATTATTACATAAAGTTAAGGATACAAAACTTGATTTCTATTAAATAAAGTCATATTTATGAAATTGTTCAGCCGCGCTTATCTATTATGAAACTATTAGTTTTAAAACAATCAACTGTTATTGCAGAAGGATTTGTCGATAGATAAATTTTGAGTCTAATGTAACATTGCTCCTGGTTCCTGTGAATCTCTACCAATAAGAGTTTTTGGTGGTTTAGCCAAAGGTAACTGTTTCACTTGATCTAATGTTGATCGTTTCTTTCGTTCACGTGGTTCAAGTTTAATTGTTTTTCCATTTTCTTTAAGTGATTCTTTTATTGCAACAATGACTCGTACATCATTCAAGCCATCTTCACCATCAGCTTCTGGATCAACATTATTTAAAATACATTCAGAAAAATATTCTGTTTCACCACCAAATTGATCCGTTTCTGGAAATGTTTTCGAATCTTCTTGGCCAGCGATTTTTGTTTTATAGGCAATTTTCACACCACTACCAAATCCATATGCAGGATTTACTTCAATTTCACCTAAAATGACAAATTTAATGGTATTGTATAGTCTTCCAGTTTTTAACAGATCATTGAAAATGTCCTACCTTTTGTGCCTACAATTTTGTAACCTTCAGTGAATGAAGTAGCATAGCTAACAACGAATTGAGCCATATGATCACGAGGAAATCGAAGTGTAACAGTAATTGTATCATGTTCCATTTTAAAAAATTCACCTGGAGTTTTAAATCCAATAGCAGTCACTTCAATTGGTTCTGAGCCAAAAATATTTCGAGCAGCATTAATGGGATAAACACCCAAATCTGGAATTGGACCACAATCAAAACCTAAATATCAAACGAACTTTTTCTCTTCTAGAATTGAATGTTTTATTTTATATCACTTTTGATAAAATGGCATTTTAAAAAGAAAAAATAATTACCTTCTTTAGCACGATGATTTTCTGGTTTTATATGATTAGTGAAAACTGATGAGAAAATTCGAGGATCACCAAAATCTCCTTTTCGGATACGATCAATGACATCAAGTGTTCCAGGTTCATGATGAAGACGATAAGCTATCATTAATTTAGCACCACTTTTCTTTTGAGCAGCCAAAATAGCTTCACAATCCTCGATTGTAACTTCCATTGGTTTCTCAAGTAAAACATGATAACCTACAATAATTAATCAATTTACTAATGATTCATATGAATTTACAATAAACCTTTCTCAAGAGCTGGAATGGCAAATTTTCCATGTTGATTATTTGGTGTAGCAATATAAAATGCATCACATTGGCCTTCTTCGAGTGCCTGTGAGAATTGATCATATGAATAACATTTTAAATTATATTCTTTTCCTAATTTTTCACGTTTTTCTGCATCATTACTGATTAATACAGTTAATACTAGAATGGACAAAAAAATGCAAATGTTGTCTTTTCATTTGATGTAAACTATTAACAAATGTATTACCTGAATTCGATGTTTGTCCAACACCTGGCATAAATGAACTTTGACTAATCCATCCAGCAGCTACAACACCATAACGAACTTTAGGTCCAACAGGTTTTCGACCAAAAGGTGTGTCAACAGTAGTTTTAACTGTATCCATAATTTTTCTTTTTAAATTTATTGAATAAATACTGACGAATGAAGGAAATGAAAAATTTTTATATATATGTGACGTTTTTTGCAAAATAAGAGTGACGAATCAAAATATGATATGAGTAGAAAGTGATATATATATTCTCGTACACGGTGCGTTGACTTTTTCTTTTCTCTGACAAAACAACATCACCACATGCCTTCACAGTGCTTTAGCTATTTGTGTTGATTGTATTATTCGTTTGCAATCTCGTTCTTTTTTTTTCCGTTCTTCTCACATTATCAAAGAAGACACTTTATGATGTACGTTTATAAGATAGAGTGTGGAGAAAAAGCGTTTGTTTTTTGTGTTTTAGTCCTTGTGGCAAACACAGCACATTCTTATCAATAACACGTTAATACGCGGTGAAAGCAACTTTAAACGCATCTACGTTCGTTTACAGATATTATGTCATACAAAGAACTGGGTGTGGGTGTGGGTGTGGGTGAGGGTGTGGGGTAGACCCCGTCGGGTCCAGAATTTTTGGACTCGGACCCGGATCCTCGTCCAGGATTTTTTTTACCCGGGCCCGATCATTTAAAATTTTTCTACCCGGAGCCGGACCCGGTCGCTTAAATTTTTTGGATCCAAACACAATGACGAGTCAGTTTAGATAGTATAGTCAAGAAGGGTTTTGTTGTTTTTTATCTATTTTCTAAATACATTTGATTTCTTCTTTGTATAAAACGAACAAAACTTTAAAAAAATTTAAAATAAATTGTATGGATGAAAGTTTCCTTCAGACCTGGACCCGACCCGGACCCGGTCAAAGCAAAATTTTCAGACCCGGACTCGAACCCGGACCCGGTCAAAATAAAATTTTTGGACCCGGACCCATTCGGATCCGGGTCTTAACTGACGGGTCTAGTGTGGGGTGTGGCTGTGGGTCTTCTGCTGAGTCACACCCACAGCCACAGCCACACCCTACAGATTCATAAGATCTTAGATACAGATTTTTAAGATCTTAGGTATAGATTCGTAAGATCTGAGTACATACTAAGATAAAAAGTGTTGGAGGTATCGTGATTTGCGACGCAATCCGTGGTACAATCTGAAAGCGTGATTCAAACCTATCACACAGCACATTTATTTTTTTTCTGTAAAAGCATGCTATGAAATTTTTTCAATTTACCTTCATTTTAATTATTCCTATTTTGAATAATTGAAGCAAGCCCGATCTTGAAACCTGCCTGTTCTTGAGATAGTTCGATCTCCATCAGACGGCTTCAGGTAGTCCTCTCTCGATCAGCGATCGAGATCAGCAATTTCTCGAGTGATCAATACTCGAGAAAGAGTTTAGAAAAAAAATTATTTTGAAAAATCTGTGTTTCTTATGTTCAATCACGTTGTTTATATACGGCTCTGTATGCATAAAAAAAACCGGTGAATGACTAGTCAGTATGTAACCAATAAACTAATGATGTCGCTTTTTGTTTTTTCAAGATCTTGTGAGAAGATAATAGTGAATGATATAATTTTCATGATCTTAACAAGATCTTAAGCACAGATTTATCTGATAGACCCAAGATATGCACATACAAATTATCTTTTCAAATTCTTCTTAAGATCTTGCTTATCGGTCCCAAAATTTCAAGATCTTGCTTACAAGATGTTCGACTCGGGCAAATATTTTTCTGGTATGTGACTTTTGAGACACCCTGTATATGATAGATTCCGCTTTCGCCTTTGATAGTGAAAAATTCTCGAATTTGTTTTGTGATTTTTAGATCACGTTTTATTCTTTCAGCATCTTCGTATCCTGGTATATCGCTAAGATTCAGTGTGATAAACTGTAATTCAACTCATCTGACTTTTATCTTGACTTTTTGCTACTCCTTTTTCCTCTTCATCTTCTTCGGTAATTAGTTTTCAACGAAAACTCTCATCTCATTGTACTCCTTAATATTAACTAAAGACAGCATTTATTATCGTCGTTTTACCAGTACCTCTAACGCCTAAAATCATATAAGTTCTCTCTGTCGAATAGTTACCATGAACGAGAATTCGTTGACCTATGTGCTACGGGCTCGCCCTTCACAGCGTTTCCACTCTATTTCACTTCTCTAGGTCTCTTTCGTTTTTCTTTTTTCTTTTCCTTTCTTATAGTTATATCGTTTGTAACTGACTATATTTCTTTGTTATGTGATATCATGATATCTAGTCATATATATACATGTTTTCCCTAGATAGTAGAATATATATATATGTGTGTTTGCGGACATTTCTCAGTCGAGTTGAGAGTGTGGTCAGATATGTTTGAATAAAATAAAGAAACGAAAAAAGAATAAATAAACCTTCTTTACATTTCCCTAATAACATGTAACATTTTCTTAAACAATTTTTTGCACTAATGATTTATTCTTGAAATGCAATTTTACAAAGTCTAGGATATCTTTCTTACCCGATACGAAATAAGTGCTTATATTGCACCTTTACGTTTCGAACATAAAAACACTTATATTTTAACTTCTACTTAACGAGTTTGAACATTTTTTTTCCAATGCTCCTAAATTTCTATCGTAATTAGCGTGAAAATATAAATTCTCTTAACTGCAATAGCTACGGAGTTTCCAAGCAACTAAAGTAAAAAAATTAGTGCTTTTTCGCACCATCTATCAGCAAACATTACTATTGAGTCTGACAATTTTGATTGGATAAAATAATTTTTTAGAACTATTTTGTAGCTATGACTTTTCCCATTTCTTACCATATAAATCGATGACAATCTGGTTTCAATTGAGTGTGAGTTTGGGGTGTTTTATTATCATCTTTAGCAGACCATTCGATAGAACTGAAATGGAAATTTCAGCATCCAAAAACATCACATTCAAGAGAAAACAGCATTTTACCCTAGAAATGGACTAACAAATTTCTTTTTATATCGAAACGTCTCACTAGATTTTAATAATATTTATTTAAAGGAAGAAAAAAGTTAATTTCACCTTTTTCTAATACAATCGACTTTTCTTGAATCCAGAAACGTTTTTGCAGATATTTACTAACATTCGCATATCATTGATGATTCTAGTTTTCATTGTTATCGTGAACGAATATTAAAAAGAGCTCAGTCGCACAGCTCATTCCTCGAAAAGAATGCCGACAATCGCTTTATTCCATTGCATCTACGTGCACTTGTACGGATAAAGTTCTGTACATGCTGGCTAGATTCTCTTTTTCAAAATAATTCAATGGATGTAAGAGAAAACTATAAAAAAATACGTTGATTTAGAATTTTTATTTTATTAATAAATCTTGGAACATTCATTTACTTAGAAAACTCGATTTCGTCCTATATGAAAAACTGATACCTAGGAAAATACTTGACTTATACATACAATAAATGGCGTTCTATCGAATATGCGACTCAAAATTTTCTCCATATATACTTTGATTTTTTTTCTTGGAACTATACAATGCCTAGCCAATGCAATTCACCTATATACTATGTGTTCGGTTTACTTTGTTTACAAATAAAACGAAGGTTTCAGATATCTGATTTTATAATAGTAATAACTGAATTAATAGAGTAGTTACGTATGTTTTTTTTTTATATGAATAAATACAACAATCAATTTTCTTCTCCATAATACATAATCAAAAATTTTAGTCTTTGAAATAGAGATAGCTCAAAAGTGTTCGCTTTATCGACCTTGACTTTATATTGTATACAAAAATATATCATGATTATTATTCATGATTTTTCTACACATAAATATTAATTGAACTCTTTTTTCTTTTTTTTTTTTCATTTTAAGATTACAACATGAAAATAGAAAAGTTTGTTCATAGAAAATAATTAGATGAATTGACTTCGTCAACAATTCTTTTTTTTTTTTTAATGTTTTTGTTTCATATGTGAATATAAATTGTCGGTCGGTCAACATTTCATTTGCTCTTATCGTCAAATGTGCTCATAACATATTGATTTTCGACTAAAAAAAATATTCTCTCGCGATAATTTTTATTATTTAATTTATTGTTTATTGGAACAAAATTCAATCGTATGATTTATTTGTAAAAATGAATTCACATACACATATTGAAGATTTATCAAATGAAATATTCTTCGAAATATTTGATTATTACATGCATTAGATATTTTTACTGCTTTTAATTCATTAAATAAAAGAATTTCATCCATTTTACAAATAATTCCACTTCGTATTCTTATATCCTATGATCATTGTTATCGTCAAATTAATTTTCTTTCTTCATATCTTAATTTTCATTCTCATCAAGTTATTTCAATAAAAATTTATGATACAATTCGTGATTATTCATCTATTATTAATTTATTATTTAATCGACATTATTTTATTAATCTTCAATCATGTATATTTTTTTCAATTAAGCCTTCAACAAAACTTGAAAATGTTATTAAACAATTAAAGCATCTAAATAGACTTGTTTCATTTAGTATTCGTCAACCACGTCAGAAAAATCTAAATGAAAATGATAAAGATGATTTAATTCGAACATTATTTATGCATAAGTCATCTTTCCTTCGTTCAATTATTTTTCAATTTCCTTATAATTACTTAAATATATCAAATTATAATTCAATATCTTCGAATATTTTATCACTTCTTTTATGGTTTTCTGGTTCACCATCAACTCTATCTGTTTATTCAATTTTACCAATTCTTCGACTTTGTTATACAATTCGATATTTGACTATAGCAATAGAACATGAGGATTCACTTGAAAATAATCATATCAAGTAAGTTATTCAATTGAAAATAAAAAAACAAAATAATATATTTTTTTTTGTTTTAGTTTTTCAATTCAACCACCATTGATTAATGAAAATCTTCTTCCTACATTATCACTAGTGAAATCTTTTTATTTAGCAAATCTTGCTAGATGTGATATACGTTCAATTTCTTATATATTACGTTGTATGCCTAATCTTATTCATTTTAATTTTAATCTCATGATACCAAGTGCAATATGGCCATTTCCTCATGAATTGCTCAATGGTTATGTATGGCAACAAATGTTAGAATTTTATATTCCATGTTTATCGAAATTTGAATTTCATATGTCGATTATAAAAAGATATCCAAAATTAGATTTAGATTTTGTTGTCCATTCATTTGAATATTTTTCTCAAAAATATCCTAATTGGAATATGATTATCGATCGATGGAGACTTTATCGTGGAAATCCAGGTAAATTAAGTTGAAAAAAACTTAAGTTGCCTCTCTTTCCAGGCATGAAAATCAAAATTTTTTCGATTTTTAGTTTTTCATAGCTAATGTAGCTGTTAATTCTCCTCTGTCAAACGTCATATAAACGAGGATTAGTTAGTACGTTTATTAAATCCAATTTTGAAAAGCTTGCAGACAAGAATCCACACTGATTATTCTATTTTATAAAAATTCTCGTAAAGATAATCTGTGTTTCTCATTCTAAAGGTTCTTAGAGTCATGGGTCATGGACCCCTAACATCACTGAACATGGCTAATTTTCGATCAATTTAGTTGAAAAAAAAACGTCCTAATAGATAGAGGAAAATTTTTTTCTTTTTTCTTGAAATCGGCTTTTCCACAAAAAGAATATAGAATCGCTGCTGTTTCTAAGGCACTGTACATTAGAGCCCGTCGGGTCCAAGAATTTCTGGACCCGAACCCGCTCGAGTAAAATATTTTGGATCCGGACTCGGACCCGATCGATCAAAATTGTTGAATTCGGACCTAATTGATTGATCTTTTCTAGGTAGAGCCTATCGGATTCAAGAATTTTTAGACCCGAACCCGCTAGATTATATTTTTTTGGGCCCGAACTCAATCGGATCCGGGTCCGGGACCAACCCGACGGGCTCTACTGTACATTCTATGGAGCTAAAACTTTTCCTACAAGTACTAGGTAGTATTTCAGGTGCCTAATTTTTTGTTTTGAGAAATATTGCACTTTTGATTTTTGGCTGATTTTACAAGAAAAAAACCATATTTTTGGAGGTATGTTCAACATTTTGTTTTTTTTGAATGGAAGGAAATAAAAAAAACCTGAAAAACGGAGGTACTTCAAATGATGTCTAGTATCTGCAGAAAATAAAGTTTCAGCTCTATCGGATGTATTACGACTGAGAAAGTGGGACGATTAAACTAAAACATTAGAAGAGTAATTATTCTCTTTCTGAATTTTTACTTTTAAACTATACTGAAAATTCTTCTATTCATTGTTAAAAAGTAAATGATGATAAAATATTTTTACTGATTTAAGACGTTAATTATTTTATAATAATTTCAGAAAAAAGTTATTTTGTTAATATTTAAAGATCTATTTCTTTTAGAAGAAGTGATCTTGTTACGAACATTGAACTATCATAAACAGAAATTAAATGGAAACGTAAATGTTCCTTTGATTTGTTGTGCATCATTTGAGACACGATCAACAACAACAACAAATGATCATCATCTTTTTTATTCAAATGTAACAGAATTAAGATTATTGATGATAAACAGAAGACAAATATTTACTTGGTCTTGTCCTTTATTTCAACAAATCAAATATCTCATCATACGAATGCCAGCAAGACGTTCATTATTATGGAACAATCTATTGAATATTGGTAAGAGAGAGATCTATATTCGTTTCTTTAAGAAAAATAATTAAGTCGGCTGACTGCACGAAGTGCTGGCAGAGTCGACTTATTGCTTTTCACCCGCTTAGTTGCCATGGTAAATTCTTCTTCTTCTCTTTCTCGACGCATGAGTCACGGATCAAGTCAGCCATTCTTTCTCAGTACCTGAGCATCTTTTTGAACTGGAAAAAAGCTTGCTGAGATCGTGAGAACGTGACAAGTGCACATCTGAAATTCGTTTTTCAAAATTCCATTCCGTTTGTGGGATAATAAATATATGTAAAACAATAATTAACAGCTGCTAGTTTCATTATATGGTATTGTATGATTCAACCTGAAATGACCATTAATATCTCAGATGTTCAATGCATATACAATTTAATTATCGTCTTATGTGACTTAAATTCATCCAAGAAAGAGTCTCGAGCAATCAAGAAAATCTGACCATGGTTTATATAGATGAAATGAGCAATATGATAATGAACAGCTGAATGTTTCCTTATATAGCAATAGCTGATCACATTCATTATCTCTCACTTGTCAGCTGAGTGAACACAGCTGAACTCGACTTAAATTCATTATGATTTTCTTTAGGGACGGCTACGATCTTGAAAATAGCAGATGTCATATACACTCCTGTTTTGATATTTTTCGGGCTTGTGCAGTCAGCCGCCTTATCTGCTCGAGCTTCGCTCGAGTGGAGGTCTAGTTACTTTTCACTCGCTTAGTTGCCATGGTTATTCTTCTGCCTTCTTCTTCTTCTCAACACATGAGTCACGATTCAAGTCAGCCACTCGTTCTCAGCTTCCAAGCATCATTTTGAGTCGAAAAAAGCTTGGCGGGATCCTGAGAACGTGACGAGTGCATATCTAAAATCCGTTTTACGAAATTCGGCACCGTTCGGGAGACACGACAAAGCCGAAAATGATAATTAACAGCTGAGAAATTCCCTATATAGCGATGCATGATTCAATCTTAGGTGACCATTCATAGCTTAGATATCAAATGCATATATATTTTAATTATCGTCTTCTGAGAGATAAAATCGTTCACCACGAAGTCTCGAACATTGAAAAATATTTTCGAATGGCTTATATAAACTAGACCTCTACCCGGCCCAAGGCCGGCTAGAAAAGTCGGCTGACTGCAGAGCCCGAAAAATATCAAAATCTGGTCCTATACGACATCTACTATTTCTATACCCAAGAGTTGTGTAGAGGAAATCATAATGAATCTGAATCGTAGATTTCCATATAAGGAAGCTCTCAGCTGTTCATTATCGTTCATCATCTCATCTGTATAAACCATAAAGAGATTTTTTTAAATGCTTGAGACTTCTTCGTGGATGAATTTCAGCTATGCAAAACGATAATTAAAGTATATATGCACATAAGATCTCAGATATGAATGGTCTTTTAAGACTGAGTCATGCATAACCATATAAGGAAAATAACAGCTGTCAATTATCATTTTTGGCATGATTTATATCTCCTGAACGCTGCCGAATTTCGAAAAACGGATTTCAGATGTGCACTCGTCACATTCTCAGGATCTTGGCAAGCTTCTTTCCGACTAAAAATGATACTCAGGAGCTGAGAACGAGTGGCTGACTTGAATCGTGACTCATGTGTTGAGAAGAAGAAGAAGAAGAAGAATTTGCCATGGCAACTAAGCGAGTGAAAAGCAATAAGTCGGCTTTGACTGCACTTCGTGCAGTCAGCCGACTTAATGAGATGCGAAGAACGATAATGAACAATTGAATGTTTCCTTATATAGCAATAGCTGATTCAGATTCATTATTTTTCACTAGCCAGCCGAGCCAAGATATGTGAACGCGAACAAAATTCATTATGACTTCCTCTACAGTATTCTATGATTCAAAAATAGCAGATGTCGTTTACAATGGTATTCTGATATTTTTGGGGCTCATGCAGTCAGCCGACATTCCATCCAGCGCGGAGCGCTGAATGGCAGTCTAGTTCATTTTTCTATAAAATATAAACGAATTTTATTTCTTTTTTTAGTTAATTTTCTTGAAACAAATAATAATAGTGATGCACAACAAAGTGTTAATTGTTTATCACATTTTGTTCATTTATCCAATATAACTCAAATAGAATTTCTATTGTCGTTTGGTACATCTCGATGTCAAGATATTCAATTTATATTACAGTAAATATACTTTATATTTATTAAAGAAATATTTCATTTTTTTTCCGCATTCTTGAAGAAAATCTAATTAGTAGAGATGATATAAATCGATTATATTATATTTAAAAGAATAAGAATTTCTATTTTAAATAAATGATTCTGTTCTACATTTAGAGCATGTCCAAATGTGATGGATCTTATAATTAGTACTGAATATTTACTTTCATGAAAATTAATTGATAATAAATATCTTATTTCAATCTTCAAACAAATTAAAATGATTAAATCAATAACAGAAAATATTTATTTTCCTTTAAATTTTGTATCAAAACTGATTGAACGTTTTCCATCACTTCATCACATTGAACTTCAAGTTTTTTCATTTGATAATTGTGTACATCTTATTGAGAGATTTCTTACTCATTTGACAAATTTATCTTATCTTAAAATTAATTATAAACATGATACATTACTCGATGATCCTTTTACATGTGATTATCTTATTAAAAAACGTCGTCAAACATTTCCTAATCATATTTTCAATGAACAAAGAATTAATGTTAAAAATAATGGAGAAACTATAGAAATTTGGTTATCATGATTTTTTATGTATATATATAGATTTTTTTTTTATTATTATTGTTGTGTAAGTATGAATGAAATAAACAGATCTTTAGATTATTGTTTTTTGTTTCTCTACAAACATCGATTATTTCTCATTGATTATATAATATTCAAGAGTAGAATAATGGAAAAGTAAGTTTGAATTGATGAGCTATGTATCATTTTAGATGAAAAATAATGAGAAAAAAAAGATGAAATTTGTTTTTTTTGCTTTTCAAACTGAGCGAATAAGGAAAACAATGCTTTTTAACATTTGACTCATTTGTTTTTCTAGCGTTAATTTTTTTTATAGAATGATATTGGAGGTGTAAATCGATCAGTAAAATGACTTCTATAGAATTTAAATGAGACTAAAAACGATCAAGATTTAGTACTAAATAAGAAAATAAAAAAATTGTATGTAAAAAATACTTTAACTTTAAACTCAAAGTTAAAGCGACATATCTAAAAAAAAGCGCATCTGTAGATATTACATATTGTTCTTCAAAAGTAAGAATAAGAGAAAAATCATTGAGAAGGGATCAATAAAAACAAAGAAAACAAAAGAAAATTTGTAAAACATCGAGATAAACAAACCGAATTTCTCGAAAGTTTGGAGCGGAGGACGACTCTCCCGGCTCCTCACACCCTTGACTTTTAACCTTCTGTGGTTCTCATTGTGTCTACTCAGAAATCATGTTATCACATTTTAGGCCATTTCACAATTCCGTGTGACGGAAAGTGATCTTTTCGAGAGCCGTGAGTATGATTAGAGCCCTACAGGATATAGATAGTCTGCCATGACAGGGCAGATCGTAGTGTACGAGTGTCGTTGCCTGTCAACCTGCAACTAATTTTACACATTAGATATTATCGAAATCTTTTCTAAAGTTATACAATAAGAAAAAGCGAATTCACAACCAAATTAGATTGATCTCAAAGAAGATATTCAATAAAACCAGATGTTTCATTAATCTATTATTTATACTTATAGCAACTCAAATGTACATTTAGTTTTCTAATTTTGAGTTCTATCTTATTTTTCGAATATGATAATTGAAACAATTGGTGTTTAAAAAGAACATTCATCTGTAACATCTACAACAAAGTTTAACATCGCCAATATAGCATCAAAAAAACGAAAAAACAAAAACAATTTAGTCATATGAAATGATATTATGCAAGAATTTGCAGAAGAATTGTGATTATAATTCTAATGAAATTGGTCGTTATTAGGCCCCGACAAGTTCGGCTCAAGCTCAGAGCTGATGAGCTGGTCGAAACGCTCACTGGCACGAGCTAAGCTGTTCGAACAGCTCATTGCAAGTGAGCTGAACCTTTCGAACAGCTCACTTGAGCGAACTGAGCTTTCACAGCAGTTCGTCCCAAAGGAACTGAACCACTTCAACGGTTCTTTTGAATGAACTGAACTTTCTGAACAGCTCTTCCCGAATGAACTGAGGTTCAGGTTTAAATACATACTGTCTTATACGGGTACCCGTAGGTCTTCAAGTCCTACTATTGATGGGTATCCTGGGTCCTCAAGTCCTGCTTTAGGGAGATACCTTGGATCCTCAAGGCCTACTATACTACTCGTTGTTCGCACAATAAGACAGGGAAGGCCACCTCAAATCTGACTGTTCCAATCTTCGACCAATCTGATCTCAGGAGGTTCTTTCTTTCTTATTACTCGGACAACTACAAGTCATGCTCGAGTCCATCATGGGGTTATCGGGGACGCTCTATCGAATGAGGGGTATATGTAAAGGTCTCCGCACTACATTACTCTAAAAAATGCCATGTGTCTTACAAAACAGTTCAAGTGTCTATTTCCCATTAATTTTCCTTGAGCGTCTAAAATCGGTTATCCGTTGACACGTGACGCGTCTTGTTGAGACAGGTAATGCATCTTTGTTTTAGACATATAGTGTGTCTTCGTAAGTTGCGCCACGTGTCAACGGATAACCGATTTTAGACGCTCAAGCAAAATTAATACAAAATAGACGCTTGAACTGTCTTATCTAGGTGTCTTAATTTTTTAGAGTGATATAGCCGAGAAATAGAAACTCGTCATTTGATTGGTCAATTTTTCAGCCAATGAGATTTCAGAAGCCTTTTTCTTTCTTATTACTCGGACAACTACAAGTGATATTCGGGTCCATCATGGGGTTATCGGGGACGCTCTATCGAATGAGGGATATATGTGAGGGTCTCGACGCTGCATATCAGCGAGAAACAGAAACTCGTCATTTGATTGGTCATTTGTCGGCGAATATGATTTCAGGCGACCTTTTCTGTCTTATTATCTGGGCAGGTACTAGTATAGCAGTGCTTGAGGACTGAAGGATACCGCTGTAATGGGCTTGACGACCGAAGTGTACCGGTATAGTGCGCCTTGAGGGCCCAAGGGTGCCGCTCTAGTGAGCCTTGAGAACGTATGAGTATTCTGCTAGGGTAGCCCTTGATGACCAATGGATACCTCTATGGAATAGCCCTTGAGGATCTATGGATATCCTTATAGGATAGCCCTTGGGTACCTATGGATACCCCTGTAGGATAGCCCTTGAGGACCTTTGGATACCCCTGTAGGATAACGCTTGGGTACCTATGGATATTCCTATAGGATAGCCCTTGAGAACCTATGGATATCCCTATAGGATAGCCCTTGAGGCCCTATGGATATCCCTATATCACAGAGTCTGCTAACCTATGGGTATCGTCATAGTATACTATCTTTGGTAACTGTAGGCTCAGTTCATTCGAAAGGAGCCGTTTGAAAAAGTTCAGTTCGTTTCAAAAGAACTGTTCGAGCAGCTCTTTAGTTCGTTTGAATGGAGTTCGTGAACTGAACTGGTCGACCCCTAGTAATAATAACATCATATCCATTTCCATGTTATAATTCAAGTTTTGATATGAATATCAATAAGAAGTAATTAAAACTTGAATTATGAAATGATAATGAATATCATGCTATTAAAATACTATTATCATATAATTCGCTTTATGATTTCTTCGGTAAACATTTAAAAAAAATACGTCTTTACCAAGAAAAATCCAAAACACGAATAAATTTCAAATAAAATCATACATTAGCTACGACAGTTTCTTTTCTGTACATTCAAATCTATATGTCCTTTCAATACACCCGAATCTGTGGCACATGTCAAACGCGAGAGTTGAATTCAATTACTCAAGAATTAAAAGAAAAACTTTCTCCGCGCAATTAACCTTTTATATGTGCGTTGCAGCATCGAGCGCGTAGTCCACCTCCGAAGAGCTGTGACTCCTACTCGTCTCAGAGTACACAGCAAAGTCTGTCCTTATTTTGTTTTGGCACTATTGAAAATGATGTACTAAAGAATAGACGGTAAAAAAAATAGGACGTACAGATTCAGATATAAAGATTCGCACATATATGTAAAACCTCAAGAGAACATATAGAAAGGACATACATCTAAGTGGATCAAGAGAGTTAGAACATTTTTTTTATCGTTTCCAACCGAAACGAAAAACCAGATGGACTCATCTTTATAATTATGGTATCTATGATGATAATTATTCTCATGATGCTATTATTTATTATTTTTATGATTTTATGATTTCATTTATTATCATATATTTCGTGATGATAATACTATTGTTATATCTATATTAATGGAAAAAATTTCATTGACCATGACCGGAAAAAAGGTCTAAAATTTTTGTTTTGGCATAGGATGAATAAATCAAATAAATATATAAATCTGCACTATATTTCTTTTCTTTTTTTTTATTTATTTTGACTGAATCTCAATATGATAGTAGTTGTTTTGAAATCTATATATCTTTCGATATGATGAAACTAAAAACATGGCCATTCTCAAGAATGAACACGAATATATTTGATTTTGAGAAAATGGCACTTTTTAACGATAACTTATTTGTTTATCGATAATCAACGAATATCGACAAATGGTTCTCGTGAATTAAATGTTCTATAGAAAGTAATTTCATCAAAAATTGCACGTATTTCGATATAGTAATGATCCAATGAAATGAATGAATAAAAAAAAGCAGAATGGATATCTGTCTGGGAAGCTCTTTTGATCATAT